TTGTAAAACTAAACTCTGTTCTCATTAAACACTCTCTATTCCCTCCTCCCTACAGCCCTGGTAACCACCGTTCTACCTTCTGTTCATATGATTTTAAAAAAATTTTATTTTAGTTTTTGAGACGGTGTCTCGCTATGTCCCCTAGGTGGGAGGGCAATGGCGCGATCTTGGCTTACCGCAACCTCTGCCTCCCAGGTTCAAACGATCCTCCTGCCTCAGCCCCCTGGGTAGCTGGGATTACAGGCACACACCACCACGCCCAGCTAATCTTTTTTTTGATATTTTTTAGTAGAGGCAAGGTTTCACCATATTGACCAGGCTGGTCTCAAACATGTGCCCTCAAGTGATCCACCTACCTCAGCCTCTCAAAGTGCTGGGATTACAGGCGTGTGCCACCGCCCGCCCTTGATCCTATGAATTTGACAATTCTAGGTACCTCCTATGGGTGGGTTCATACAGCACTTGTCTTTTTGTGTCTAGCTTATTTCACTTAGCATAGTGTCTTCAAAGTTCATCCATGTTGTAGCATGTCCGAATTTCTTTCTTTTTTTTTTAGGCTGAATGCTATTCCATTATGGATATCATGCATGTTGCTCATGCGTTCATCAGTCAATGGACACTGAGGGGTAGCTTCTGCCCAAGTTTCAGACACTGTGAGTAATGCTGCCGTGAACATGCGTGCACAAATATTTCAAGACCCTGTTTTCAGTTCTTTTGGATATATACCCAGAAGTGGAACTCCTGATCACATGGTAATTCTACTTCCAATTTTTTTTTTTTTTTTTTTTTTGAGACAGAGTTTCGCTCTTGTTACCCAGGCTGGAGTGCAATGGTGAGATCTCGGCTCACCACAACCTCCGCCTCCTGGGTTCAGGCAATTCTCCTGCCTCAGCCTCCCAAATAGCTGGGATTACAGGCACGCGCCACCATGCCTAGCTAATGTTTTGTATTTTTAGTAGAGATGGGGTTTCACCATGTTGACCAGGATGGTCTCGATCTCTTGACCTCGTGATCCACCCGCCTCGGCCTCCCAAAGTGCTGGGATTACGGGCGTGAGCCACTGCGCCCGGCCTCTCCTTCTAATTTTTTAAAGGAGCCACTGTACTGTTTCCCACAGTGGTTGCATCATCTTACATTTTGCGTCTGGTTTCTTTTGCTTAATCTTGGTCAGGAAGATTCCGGAATGTCATGTATGGCACAAGTTTGTTTCTTTATAATTGACGTGTTAAGGACTCCACGGTATGAGCAAAACCCAATCTATTAATTCCACTGTTGATGGACGTTTGGATTGTTGCCCACTGTGGCTATTAGGAATGAAACTGCCACTAACTTCCTTATACACATTTTCTGGTGGTCATAGGCACCTGTTTCTCTTGGGGATATATTTAGGAATGGAATTGCTGGATCACAGGGTAGGCAGTTGTTTCACTTTTAGTAGATATTAGGTGTAAATTGTGAGATCTTTAAAATAGTACAGATTGAGCCAGGTGCAGTGGCTTAGGCCTGTAATCCCAGCACTTTGGGAGGCTGAGGCAGGTGGATCACCTGAGGTCAAGTGTTTGAGACCAGGCTGACCAACACAGTGAAACTCCGTCTTTACTAAAAATACAAAACTTAGCTGGGTGTGGTGTTGCGTGCTTGTAATCCCAGCTACTTGGGAGGCTGACGTAGGAGAATCACTTGAACCCAGGAGGTGAAGTTTGCAGTGAGCTGACATTGGACCATTGGACTCCAGCCTAGGTGACAGAGTGGGCCTTTGCCTCAAAATAAATAAAATAAAATAAAATAGTACTGATCATCACATAAAGTTTTGAGGTCTGCCTTTTTCACTTAACATTAAATCATTACTATTTTTAAGTTAGAATTTTTATTTTGAGATAATGATAGATTCCTATGCAGTTGTACGGAGTAACACAGAGATCCGGTGCACGTTGTCCCGGATTCTCCCATAGGTGGACATCTTGTGGACCTAGAGGTAATGTCACAGTAACTGTATTGACATTGATCCAATACCCTCAGCTCTCCCTGGCTTTCTTTGCATCCATTCTTGTGCATGTTCCTCTAGTTCCACTCACTTTTATCACCTGCTCATGTTTGCGGCCCCACCCCCCACCACAGTTCCAACGCCGCAGGGATTCCCTTCCCTCCCCTGCCCTCCCCTCCCCATCCCTTCCTTCTTTGATTCTGTTCCCGAGGCTGGAGTGCAACAGCACCATTTCAGCCCACTGCCACCTCCACCTTCCGGGTTCAAGCAATTCTCCTGCCTTAGCCTCTCAAGTAGCTGGGACTACAGGCACATGCCACCATGCCTAGCTAATTTTTGCATTTTTAGCAGAGACGGAGTTTCACCGTCTTGGCCAGGCTGGTCTCAAACTCCTGACCTCAGGTAATCCACCTGTCTCGGCCTCCCAAAGTGCTGGGATTACAGGTGTGAGCCACCATGCCTAGCCATCCCTCCTATTAGTTTCTAACACAATCATCTACCCAGCATCTGGCAACCACCAGTCTGTTCTCTATCCTGATACCTTTGTCACCACAAGAATGGTCTGTAAATGGAATCAAGTAACTGGTAACCTTTGGGGATTGGTTTTTGCAGTCAGCATAGTTCTCTGGAGAGTCATCCAGGTTGCTGTGTGCTGTGGTTTGAATGTTGATGCCCTCCTAAATTCAGATGTTGGAACCTCATACCCAATATAATAGTTTTAAGAGGTGGGACCTTTGGGAAGTGATTAAGTCATGAGGGCTCCGACTGCATGAATGGAATTAATGCCTTTATAAGACAGGGGAAGGGAGTGCAGCTGCCCCTTTTACCACGAGAGGAGCTGGCACCCAACTGCTGTCTGCGAATCAGAGAGCACTCCCCAGACACCGAATCTGCTGGTGCCTTGATCTTGGACTTCCCAGCCTCCAGAGCTGTGAGCAGTAAGTTTTTACTCTATAAATGATGCAGTCTAAGGTATTTTGTTACAGCAGCTGGAACAGACTGGACACTGTATGCCAGTGATTTGTTATTTTCGTTACTCAGTGGTGTTTCTGGGTTTGGATGTGCCGTAGGGTGTTGGGCATTCACCCTTTTTGTTTGTTTTTGTTTTTCTGAGACAGAGTCTCACTCTGTGGCCCAGGCTGGAGTACACAGGTGTGATGTCGGCTCACTGTAACCTCTGATTCCCAGGTTCAAGCGATTCTCATGCCTCAGCCGGCCTGGCATTCACCCTTGAAAGGACATTTGAGGGCTACCAGGGTTTGCCTGCTATACAGTAAAGCTGCTGCGGGGACTAGCATATAGATTCTTTTGCGAACTTATGTTCACCCAAGAATCCAGTTGCTGGGTTGTGTGGTATTTGCCTCGTAACTACAGATGCTTCTTGACTTACAACAGGGTTACATTCCAATAATCCCATTGAAAATTGGCGGCGTGGGGCAGTGGGAGCTGATCTCTCTGCTGCTGTCCAGCACTGTGAGGGAAGTACAGTTTCTATTGAATGTATATCATGTTCGCACTATCATAATGTCAAAAATCCTGGGTTGAACTATCATAAGCCAGGGATTGCCTGTACTTTTTAATTTTTTTTTTTGAGACAGAGTTTTGCTCTTGTTGACCATGCTGGAGTACAATGGTGTGATCTCGGCTCACCGCAACCTCTGCCTCCTGGGTTCAAGCGATTCTCCTGCCTCAGCCTCCCAAGTAGCTGGGAGTACAGGTACGTGCCACCATGCCTGGCTAATTTTGTATTTTTAGTAGAGACGGGGTTTCTCCATGTTGGTCAGGCTGATCTCAAACTCGCAACCTCAGGTGATCTGCCTGCCTTAGCCTCCCAAAATGCTGGGATTAGAGGCGTGAGCCACAGCGCCCGGCCAGATTGCCTGTATTTGTGAAGGAGCCCCACGTCCTAGGTTACTCTGCCAGTTACATATTCTGATGCAAACCTTTTCTGAAGTCTTAATATCATGACATGCTGGGGGTCTCCACACCCCTCATTTTGGGGGATTAGAGGTTTCTTCTGTCTAATCCAGCTCTAGAGCCACTTTCTCTGGAAGCTTCCACCCAGAGCCACCTCCCTGAGAGAGCGGCCCCACCAATGACCTTCCTGTGGAGTGATGGAGCTCTCAGGCTGGGCAGAGGTTGCCACCCCATGGCTCCCTCCCCCAGAGGAGGGGCCCCTGGTCTCAGCTGAGGCTTACAGCTGAACACACCTGGCTCCGGACGCACCGAGAGCTCTTTGCCTGAGTGTGTCCCTATCATGTAGACAGAGGCCTTTGAGAAAATAAACCGTCGTGAGAGAACCTTTTCCTACTGGGGGAAGCTGACTTGGTCTGGTGAAGACTTACTCACTTGCTTCCAGCAGAAAATAACTTTACTGTGAGCCTGAAGGTTATTATAACTAAATCATTCTCTGAACTCTATAGACAGGCTGGGCATGGCCATTGTATTTCCATCACCCTGGAGAGAAATCTGTGACCAAATGGTTAAAAAAATTCCAAGTCATGCATTATTCACCCTCACTGCATAATGCATGAAGGCTGCCGGCCGGGCCCATTTATGTTTTCAGTGTTGGCCTCAAATGTCAGGCACTGCCTTGGAGAGGCCCAGGAGGGCTCTGGCTCTCATTGCTGGCCCCTGCTCCCCTCTGGATGAACTCAGGCCTCCAGGGCTCCTGCTCTTGCTCATTAGGCTTTCAGCCCGGATGATCCTTCTTTCTCTTCTTCTATGAAGTCCTCTCCATTTTTCAAGTCTGAGAAATCACCTATCCCTGCCACCTCCCCAGGCAGGAAGTCATCCTTCCTCCCTGTTCCCCGTGACACTTTATTTGTATTTATTTATTTTTTTCAAGGTAGAATCTCGCTCTGTCACCCAGGGTGGAGCACAGTGGCCTGATCGAGGCTCACTACAACCTCCGCCTCCCGGGTTTAAGCGACTCCTGTGCCTCAGCCTCCCGAGTAGCTGGGACTGCAGGCAGGCACCACCACACCTGGCTAATTTTTGTTTTTTTTTTTTTTTTAAATTTATTTTATTTTAAAAAATTAAAAGAAGTCATCCTTGCGCAGGGGCCATGCTAATCTTCTCTGTATCATTCCAATTTTAGTATATGTGCTGCCGAAGCGAGCAGGACTTTTGTATTTTTAGTAGAGATGGGATTTCACCATGTTGGCCAGGCTGGTCTCGAACTTCTGACCTCAGGTGATCTACCTGCCTCGGCCTCCCAAAGTGCTGGGATTACAGGAGTCAGCCACCATGCCCAGCCCTCTGTAGTACTTTAGAATCTTGATAACTACCACCAACATGATCATAACTTGTATGATTTATGTAGTTTCTATTCTCTGCTGGACACTCACACTATCTCATTTAATTCTTATAATAGCCAGTGAGGCAGATATTCTATTTCTCAATTTTAAGATGATGAAACAGGCTTAGAGAGGTTAATTAATGTGCCCAAAGACATGCTGCTAGCGAGAGGCAGCATCGCAGTTTGCCTGCAGGATGGTGGTAACTGTCATCCCTTTTCTTCTCAATCATTCTCACCAGAAATGTATTAGTTTTGCAGCCTTTTCAAGGAACCAACTTTAGGTTTTGCTAATTGTCTCTGTATCTTAGTTCATTAAGTTTGTTTTCGTATTTCTAGTCCTGCTTGCTTTAGATTTATTTTGCTGTTCCCTTTGTAATTTCTTGAGATAGATCTTAGTGCATTTCTTTCTGATTTTTTTCTCCCTTCTCCAGCTCAGGCTGGTCTTGAACTCCTGGATTCGTGCAAGCATTTCAGGCTAGAAATTTCCCTCTGAGCACTGCTTTGGTTGCATCCCTGCAAATACAAGTTTTGATACGATAAGGGTTTATTTGATACGATAAGGGTTTATTATTCCATTCAAAATATTTTCTAATTTTCCTGGTGATCTCCAGGTGGGATTGTGCTCAATCTGACAGACTGCACAGCGCTCTCATTCTCTCTCTCTCTCTCTCTCTGTATATATATATGTGTATATATATATATATATATATATATATATATATTTTTTTTTTTTTTTTTTTTTTTTTTTTTTGAGACAGGGTCTCAGCTTCGTCACCCAGGCTGGAGTACAGTGGTGCGATCATGGCTCACTGCAGCCTTAACCTCCAGGGCTCAAGCGATCCTTTCACCTCAGCCTCCTGAGTAGCTGGGACTATAGGAGTGAGCCACCACATGCAGCTAATTTTAAAAAAAACTTATTTTTTTTTTTTATAGAGATGAAGTCTCACTATGTTACCCAGGCTGGTCTTTAACTCCTGGCCTCAAGCAATCCTTGTTCTTCAGCCTCCCAAAGTTCTGGGATTATAGGTGTGAGCCACTATGCCTGGCTCTTTTTACAGTACTCTTTTCTGGCATTGAGCAAATCATTTACCTGTCTGTCCCTTCCCCAGGATCAATGGGTCTTAGTCTTATTTCCCACAACCACTAGGTGGTTTATTGTCGCTGTGCCCAGGCTAAGGGCTGTGCCCTGGGCAGTTGGGCTCCAGGTTATGGGCCATTCATGCTACCTGTCACTTCTTTCCCACTCAGGAATCACATGACAGTGTGGGGGAGGGCGGTGTTCCTGCAGGGGTCCCGTGGATCTGTGCTGATTTACTACGAAAGTCAACAATTCATGAACTTGGGGCATTAGCTACAATGAGCCACACATTTTGAAGAGGGATCATTTAATTTGAAAAGATCAAGCAGCCTACCACCTAAACACCCCACTCTCTCATGGAAAACTGAAGTCATGTTGAAGAAGAATCAGAGGGGAACTGGATAAATGACCATGTATCTGCTTTATGGTGGTAGGATACTGTCTTATTCCGTTCAGGCTGCTGTGAGAAAGTACTACAGGCTGGGCACAGTGGCTCACATCTGTAATCCCAGCACTTTGGGAGGCTGAGGTGGGAGGATCACCTGAGATCAGGAGTTTGAGACCAGCCTGGCTGACATGGTAAAACCCTGTCTCTACTAAAAAGACAAAAACTAGCTGGGCGTGGTGGTACGTGCCTGTAATTCCAGCTACCCGGGAGCCTGAGGTGGGAGAATTGCTTAAACCTGAGGGGTGGAGGTTGCAGTGAGCTGAGATCGCACTGCTGCATACCAGCCTGGGCGATAGAGCAAGACTCCATCTCAAAAAAAAAAAAAAAGAAAATACTCTGAGTTCTGGGAGATCAGGGTGCCAGCCCAGTCGGGTTCTGGTTAATAGCCAGCCGTCTTCTCCCGGTGTCCTTACGTGGTGGGAGTGGTGAATGGGCTCCCAGGGGCCTATCTTCTAGGGCACCGATCTCATTCACAAAGGCTCCACCCTCATGACCTAATCACCTCCCAGAGGCCCCACCTCTTAATACCATCACCTTTGGGATTAGGATGTCCACATATGAATTTCGGAGGGACGCTGTCAGTCCATGTCACATATGCTTTGACATTATACTAGGGACACTGAGACTCATTCTTGGCCATCCAGGGATTTCCTGCCAGGCCGGGCTATACTTTGAGAACCACCACTCTTGATTCCAAGCTCTTCAAACGTCAGCATTGTGTCTTGTGATTATTTTCTGCACCCTGCCCCCTCCTGGGTGGGGAGGTTGGGGTACCTGGCAGGGTCTGGAGGGGAGAGCAGGGCAGGTGAACTCCTGGATGCCAGTGAGCAGGCAGGGTAGGGAGGCTGGCTTCTCTAGCTGGGTGCCAAGCTGGGGGCTATGAATGGGACAGTGCTATGGAGGGTCCTTTGGCCCCCAAGGTGGCCACCCCAAGGATGAGCTCTATGCAGGATGACTCAGTCAGCCCCCCAGGAAGCCACCTGGCCATGTGGAAGGAGGAGTTGATGTCCTGCCACCAGCTCTGGGCACACGGCACCTGGTGATCTCCTCCTGGCACCCAGCAGTGTTGGATGCATAGTTACTTCATCAGTGTGTGCTGAGTGCATGGGAAAGTAAATGCTCACGCCTGAGATTTGCTTTAACATATGCCAGCAAAACAAGCAAGCAGAAAACAGTGGGGCAGAAATACATGAATCAGAATGCCAGAAGGTGGACTGCCAGTCGCTGAAGCCGGATGGCAGCTATATGGTGGTTCATTGTACTAGTCTCTCTCTTTTTGTATATATTTAACAATTTCTATGATAAAAATGTTAATAGATAAAAGAAACACTGAAACAAAAGTGACTTATGGCCAGGTGTGGTGGCTCACACCTATAATTCAAGCACTTTGGGAGGCTGAGGTGGGTGGATCACCTGATGTCAGGAGTTCGAGACCAGCCTGGCCAACATAGCAAAATCCCGTTCTCTATTAAAAATACAAAAATTAGCCAGGCATGGTGGTACATGCCTGTAGTTCCAACTACTTGGGAGGTTGAGGCAGGAGAATCACTTGAACCCGGGAGGCAGAGGTTGCAGTGAACAGAGATCGTGTCACTGCACTTCAGCCTGGGCGACAGAGTGAGACTTAAAAAAAAAAAAAAAAAAGTGATGTATTGGAGCCTTGATTTCCTCATGTAATAAAGTGGGAATAGTAGAAATATACCTCCCTGTGTTGTGGTGAGATTTAAATGAGAAAACAAGCAATGAAAGGTAGTTTTACCAATACTGGACTTTTAAATGAGATGGGCTCAATTAGTGGCAAATGGAAGGTGTTGAAGAAGGTAGAATTGTTATTTGTGTATGTAGTGTGCCAGGCAGAATCATGGCTCCCCTGAGATGTCTGTGTGCTCATCCAGGAAGCTGTGACTATGTTCCTGTCACGTGGTGCAGGAGAATCATGGTTGCAGGTGGCATTCAGGTTGCTAATCAGCTGCCTTTAAGACAGGGAGATTATCCTAGATTATCTGCAGGAGCTGATGTAATCACAAGAATTTTTTTTTTTTTTTTTTTTTTTGAGACAGGGTCTCACTCCATTGCCCAGGCTGGAATGCAGTGGTGCGATTACAGCTCACTGCAGCCTCAACCTCCTGGGCTCAAGCAGTCCTCCTGCCTCAGCCTCCTGAGTAGCTGGACTGTAGATGTATGCTGCCATGCCCAGCCACTTTCTGTATTTCTTGTAGAGATGGAGTTTCACCAGGTTGCCCAGGCTATGTAATCACAAGAGAAATGACATACTGAAACAGGGAAAGAGGGAGGTGGAAGAGGAGAACCAGAGAGGGGTGGCCGCATGAGGAGGGCTCAGCTGGGGTTGGTGGCTTTGTGGGTGGAGGCAGGACCATGAGCCAGGGAAAGCTGGTGGCCCCCAGGAGCTGCAGCAGGGAGGGGACCTGGCTCCCTCAGTGCCTCCAGGAAGGGCCAGCTGACAGCTTGGAGCCCAGTGAGACCTGGTTTGGAATTCTGATCTGCAGAACTGTAAGATAATTAATTTGTGTTGTTGTAAACCACTGATTTTATGGTAATTTAAATATACAGCCCTAAAAAATAATATACACAACTTTAATCGAAATTGGGCTAAGAAGCCAGATGCTAGTCCCAGCTATTCAGGAGGTAGAGGTGAGGGGATCACTTCAGCCCAAGGAGTTCGAGGCCAGCCTGAACAACGTAGCAAAGCCCCATCTCTAAAAAATAAAAATAAAAAATTGGGTTAAGAGTGTAGCAGCTGGTCCTTAATAGGGTGAGCCGTAAGGACTGGTAGTTACGTATCAGTTTGAAACACATGGTTGCCAGCTCGCTCCTCTCCCTCCCAAGTCATCACAGTGACATCCTTTTGCTCAGTGTCCTTCCCTGCAGGGTAGCTCAGGACAGAGGAGACAGCCAACACACCCATGCAGGGAAGTCAATGGCCACTCAAACACAGGCTCTTTTAAAAGTGGGAGAGTGGCTGGGTGCAGTGGCTCACGCCTGTAATCTCAATACTTTGAGAGGCCGAGGTGGGAGGATTGCTTGAGCCCAGGAGTTGGAGACCAGTCTGAGCAACATTAGGAAGATCCTGTCTCTACAAAAAATATACAAAACTATCCAGGTGTGATGGTGCATACCCAGCTACTCAGGGGGCTTAGGCTGGAGGGTGACTTGAGCCCTGCAAGCTAAGACTGCAGTGAACTCTGATTGAATCACTGCATTCCAGCCTGGGCCACAGAGCAGGACTCTGTCTCCAAAACAAAACAAAATAAATAGAAGCAGGAGAGGCGTGAGCAT